ATTCTCAAATCAGGAATTTTCAATAAATTTGAATTTACTGCCAGATCTCCAAATTAAGCATAGTAAAACTCCTTGAGCATTTCTCATAAACTGAATTGGTAAAGACAACTCAAGATTGTTTTATTTTTCAACTACATATATATTAGCATGAACTACCTGAAAAGTAAAACAGGACTATTATACGTTCAGTACTCTCAATCCAATTAACGTAGTTGTCCCGCCTTTCACGACTACGTTTGATAAAAAAACAGCAATGATACGATGCGCCTCTCAAAGAATATAAAAGGAGAGCAGATTCAATATTCGTTTAAGCAAAAACCTAAATTGCAACTTGTCATCCGTTACTCGTATCCTATCTAGCCATCCTAGCAGTGCGTAGCGGTAGCATTGATGATAGTTTCCAGCCTCATGTTGTTATTGCGCAGCGCTAACGGTAGAGAGGAAGTAAGTTGCGTTACTCTCACTCATTAACTAAGAATACAAATTTGGCAGCAATTGGAATTCTAAAGAAAAAAACACATTAATTGTAAATTTAGGCCCGTCCCCTATCAAACTTTGATACTAATCACAATAAAAGTTTGAATCACGCAGACACTATCTTGGATTCAACAACTGAAACTTCTACATCAAGTGATCCATTGGTAACTTAATTCATTTTAATTACAGCTATTGCCTGCTGGGGCCAATCTGTAAAACTGAACAATTCGCCCTGAAATACGGAACATCCAAAGAAATAGCTAACTCTCCAAAAAATATTTGACATGCTGAATGAAGACAATAAAAGTGATAAATCTTTAAGACGTGTGGCGTTTTCTACTAGTAAGCATGAGTACACTTGTTATTGGGCGCTGACCGATTAGAAAAGTTCATATATTCTCTATACCATCATCATCTGTCAATTGCTGAACGTCATTTATATAATAAGAATAAGTAACGTCTATTAGATTGTTGATGCTCAAGGGCTGTAAGTTCACCTAGGGGCAACATCGCCACCACTTAACCCATAACATAACTTCAGTTTAAATGTTTACAATTTCGATGGACGGGTGACAAAGAGAGAACACACACACACAAAAAGACAATACTGCGAAAAAAAAGTTAATTAATAAGTAACTTGAGAATGGGACACTTTACTCGTTCAAAAGAATGTGACGTAGTGCTGATTTAAACCTGGACACTGTAAGCTTTTTAATATTCGATGGAATGGCGCATTGTAGACAGTGGTAATGCTATATGAAAAAGGTTTTTTGAATATCTCTGAACTATGAGAAGGGATAGTAATGAGATCCTTTCGTCTGATATTTACACTATGAACGTCAGTTCGAAAGGTGATTTTATTATAAAGATACGGTGGTGTTTTAAAA